ATTTATTTTTTTATATTAATTGGTGGGGAATGGGGATCCCCGTGGGGATCCCCATTCCCTGCAGGGAACGGGGATGGGGGGCAAAATTTGCCCCCCACTAAAAATCTCCGTGGGGATCCCCGTCCGCGCCATTCGCGGGGACGGGGATAGGGAGGGACTCCCTGGCCCCGCGGGGCCCCGTTGACATCCCTATGGGCAGGTGGATTATTGGTTTTTCACGGAATATTGGATGGACTACTAGTATAACTGCTGAGTTATGGGCCATTAGAGATGGCTTGGAAGTTGCTATTTCCAAAAGGTTCTCTAAAATTATTGTTGGAAGGTTAAATACTAAATTTGGTCCCTTAACTTTAGTGAGTTGCACATTTTTGGTCCTTCAACAATTTTTTGCACTTTTTTGATCCCTCAACTATACAAAATGCACTCCGTTAATCCTTCCGTTAATTTGGATCGTTAACTCTGCTTATATGCCATTTTTTATATTTTTCTGGATGACGTGGAAAGCAAAATTTAAAAAAGTAATACTATGCACAAAAACTTTTGCCATGTCATCCTATCGTGGCCAAAAAGCGTCAAATCCGTCCAAATGGTCCCACATCACCACTAAGAATTACTTATTTGCCCATTGATTACTGCTTCTGTTCTTGTCATGGATGATGTTCTTCCATTTTCAAGACTGAAATTTTTAGACAATACTTAAAAAATATGAAGAAAAAAAACCTAAAAATCATTCACAACAACCTGTAATTTGTATAATCTATTGATAAATAAACATATAACAAAAAAAAAAATAGAGCTGGGATGGAACCCAGCTTGGGTTCCACCGAACCCAGCAGATCTGGGTTCGATGTAACCCAGCAAATAGTCCTAAACATGGTAGATCTACCCATCGAACCCAGCCACTGGGTTAAAATTATACCTTTTGATCGAACCCAGCTCAATTCACTGGAATACAGTTGCCCAAAAATCCCTTGCAATAACCTGCAATTTGGATAATCTCTTGGCAAACAATCATATAACAAAAAAAAAAAAAACTAATTGCTCAAAAATCCCTCACATCAACCTGCAATTTGGATAATCTCTTTGGCAAACAACCAATAACAAAAAAAAAAAAAATTGGAGCTGGGTTCGGTGGAACCCAGCCTAGGTTTGACGGAACCCAGTGGCTGGGTTCGACAGAACCCAATGGCTGGGTTCGATGACCTGAGGAAGAAAGAAGAGGAAGAAAGAAAAAGAAAAAAAGAAAGGAAGGAAAAAGATAGAATTATTTTATTTTATTTTTTAAAAATATAAATAGTAAAAATGCCACATCATCAGTTGTAATATTTTTTAAAAATATATAATGAGTTGGACATGAGCTGGACATGAGCTGTAATAAAAAAAATTTTCACGTTGACACGTTTTAAATTTGTTTTTGCCACATCATAAAAAAAAAAACTATAAAAAATGCAACATGAGCGAGTTAACAGCCCAAATTAACAGAAGAACTAACGGAGTGCATTTCGTATAGTTGAGGGATTAAAAAAGTGTAAAAATTTGTTGAGGGATCAAAAATATGCATTTCGTAAAATTAAGGGACCAAATTTAACATTTAACCTTGTTGAAACCGCCTCAAAAATTGCTACTACCCTTATTGAGTCTGCTGATATTTCTCTACACTCACTTGGCGTCCTTATCTCTGATTGCAGATCACTTCTGGGACGCTTTGCTGATGCTCAGATATCCCATATTTATAGGGAAGCTAACACGACTGTTGACTTCATGGCTAAGCTTGGAACTTCTTCTGCCATGAATTTTGTTTTGTATGAAGGGAGCCCTCTTGGGATCTCTTCCTTTTTGTATCCTGACTGTATTGGGACTGTGTTCTCAAGAATTGCTGTAGCCGTTTAATCTTTAATATATTTCATATCTCTATTTACCCAAAAAAAAAAAAAAAAGCACAAGAGTCCAGCATCTCAACACTAGCAGGCCCAAAAAAAGAAGATCAACAGTACCAGTCAAATGGCTGCCACTCTTAGAACGTTAACCGAAATTTTTGGTTAGGGAATGCCGGTTCGATTTGGACCAGTATCATTGGTTCCAGTGTATTTTTTCCTTTAATTAAAAAGGAAAAAGGGACCAATAATTTTTTTATTAAAAATAATGAGATTTTCTCTCCAGTCGGATGTTGTTTTGATTTTTATATAAAATTTAATTAGATAATTTTATATAATAAATTAATGACAATTAAAGGTTTTTTTCTCTTTATATGTAATTTTTGTTAAGTAATTTTATTTAGATAAAAAAAATTTAATTATCATTTATTTAAAATATAAAATTATTTTGTCAAAATTTATGTAAAAGTCAAATTAAAACAATTAAATTTGACTATAAAGAATATTATAAAAAGTGAATATTGACTTGTATTATAAGAAATTAGATGAAATTTTTTTAATTAATAATATGTTTGGTTTGAATGAAATAAAGGTGAAGGGAAAGGTCCCTTGTTCTGAATAGGTGAAAAAATTTAAGGAAAAAAAATAGAGTAAAGGACTTTACTCCCCTCTCCTTTGCTTCTCTCAAACTAAAAATACTATAAACAACAATGTTTTGCTGTAAAAACCATTTTAGTTGTTTTCCCTTGTTTTCTCTCCTTCTACCATTCAACTACCTTAATTGAACATAATCCCTAACCGGTATCAGTTTCTCTTCCTCATCCATAATGTGATTTGCTTATTTTATTGCTGGGGCTCTCCATTAGTTTCTTATTCCATTGAAAGAGGTAAATACAAAGTGCAATACCTTGTTCCTATGATAAAATAGCAGAGTCCATTTCTTTGTTAGTTCAAAACTCCATTCTGTTAGTTTAATATTGTTTTTATTGGAATGTATTTGTGCTATAAGGTGGATGATTAAATTGATTAATTACTAACGTTTTATGCAGGATGTTAATATTCATTTTTGCCCAAAAAAAAGTTCTTGTATGCTTGAAGTTTTAAGTTTCTTTGTTCCAAGAATATAATTCTATTTAATCTTAATATGATGCATTGTTATTTTTGTTTAATTTATAGGTATTCTTCATATCCTCAAAGAATGTCTTAGGATATTGATGTTCGAAAATCAATGGCTGATGTTGACAACAATTTGCTAATTGTACAAGAAGAGAATAAGTCTGAGGGACTTCATATCACTAATACAGCAATTTGAGGAAGTTAGAGATTGTGGAGAAGATGACATTGGCAGTTGGATGCCTCATGAAGTGATGCAATTTTCTTTTAATGAAGAATTTGTGAATTTTATAATGAATAGGCCAAGAGAATGGGATTTTAGCATTTGCACATAGTTATCAAAAAGATCAACCCTATATGACTTGTTGATAGAAAATATCTTATTTGTTATAAGGTTAGTAGAAAGAGATCTTATTTGTCTAAATTCAAACCATCATGTGAACATT